ACCATGTACACACACCCACACCTACACCCCCCCCCAAAATGTGTGTTCTAGCTGTGAGCTGCTCAGCGAGGGGCATAATCAAAGGCAAACCAGACCCCGGGCCTCTTCCTCCTCACTGTTAGAGATGCACACACACAACCCAGTTCCTTATGAAGTCAAACTGCTGTGTAACTTTGTATGTGATATCTTGGTCTTAAATGCAAATACAAATATGGATTTGAAAAGAAATTTTCAATTTAGAGTAAAATTAAGAGCTAGAAATAATTCATGTGAAATGTCACTCCTGGGGCAATTCAGCACATTACTTATTTTTCATAAATGATTCCCCATGCAAATAGCTAGAGTCAAATAATCTGGTAATGTATTCTCTGAATTCCTAACAATGTAATATCACCTTGAGTACTCAGTGCCATCAAACTTGATTATGAATGGCCTCTCCTGGAGCCCATTCAGTCCTACTAGGACTGACTCACCCTCTGCAGCCACATCTGAGACCTCAAGCTATCAGCTCAAGGTAACATTCAGGGACCATCTCAGACAGTGCTGGTAGTCAGTGACTCACTCTTATTGTACTAAATGCTAAACTGTGACTCAGAGTGAATCTATTAGCTGCTGACTGACACTGTACTTATTTGAATAGGAGCTCACATTGTGAGTCACCTGGTGGTACACTGAAAACCAACTTGAAGATTCTCACTGGGACAGTGATTCACATAATAATTGTTCTGGGACCTGACTTGACACAAGTGATTTCAAAATTCAATTCTGCTGAATTGACTTGGGATCATGCTAGAAATTCACTCCCTGCTTAATGCCCTTTATTTCTAAGAACATGTGGTAGTTATCCTAAGATGCAAAGTTGGGGCAACATATTCAGTCACCTCACATACTGGAAAGAACCACATGGTCTCCTTCTTCAAGGTATCCTGGAAATACCTTCCCTGGAAAACACACTGTTCCTTAAAATAACTTTGCAAGATCCTCACCTCTGAAAGGTCCTGCCATCTAATTAACTGCTAAACTCTTCATGTGAGAGTTGCACCTTTTAGCTGCCATCCACATCTGCTCATGGAAAGAGAACATGGTAAAACAGAATTGCAGAAGTGAATACAATCAGAATGTAAGAACTGACATTTGACATCACTAGCTATTACATTAAAAATAAGCAAGTTTTTCTCTTTCACTTGCTAGTACACAAAATTGGAAAGAATACAATCTTCCGAGTAATTCTGAAGGCTCTTCCTAAAAGGTTTTCTCATAGACATGACCTTCAAAGTCAGCAGGAAAAAGATTAAAAAATGTAATAAAGGCTTGAAAATGATTTCTAATATAAAACTGCTTGAAGGGCTTAATAGAGTATGCAAGTGAATGCATCCCCTAGTGGGACCTCAATTCTAATGCGGGCTCTGCTTCTGCTCGCCCTATGACCTTAGACCACTGGAGGCAAGTAATGTGGCCATGACTTATAACACTAAGTCCCCTGACAACAAAGCTTTCAAAGGCAACAGCAGCCAGCTTTTAAGGCCTGGTCTGATCTTTCTTGATGTTAGAGCTAACATACACACCTTAGATGTTTTTCTTACTATACACCGTCTCCGTGTTTGTAAATGGTTCACAAATCATCAGTGCAGTATCAGAGCTCTGGGCAGTGAGTCAGAATTCTAACTTGTTGCAGCCCCTCAGTAGATGGTCCCTTAAACTCTCTAAGTGCTTCCTTGTTTGGAAAATGAGGAACATAAAGTAACTTGATTGCCATTACTCTATTTTTTTTTTTATAGTAAATGGTATTTGGGGAAAATTGTTTAGTGTCCCAATGTCCTCCTAGTTCCTACAGTAAGTCTCTGAGCTTTCTTAAATACAATAATAGTTACTACTTCATTTTAGTGATATTGGATTTTCTGTAAAAAACTATGACAATGTGTATTTTTAAAATGTACATCTGCTTTATGAAGTAAACTTTTTTGTTTGTTTGAAACAAGGTCTGGCCTTTAACTTGTTATGCAGCTGAGAATGACCTTGAACTTCTCCCAGGTGTTGACAGAACCCACATGGACAGCTCTACAGGGTTTATTCAGTGCTGGGGATGGAACCCGAGACTTTGTGTATGCTAGGCAAGTCCTCAACTTAGCTACCCACCTAAAGCAAACTCTTTCTGTAAATTTTCATTTATCTATTATTATTACTATTATTATTATTATTATTATTATTACTCTGTGTGGTGTGGGTGCTCATGCATAGCTTATGTGGACATCACAGGGTTGGCTCTCTCCTTCCACCTTTATATTGGTTCATGGGCTCCAGGGTTCAAACACAGGCCTCAAACACTTGCACCACAAGTGCCTTTATCACTGTGATATCTCACCAGTACCACTGTTTTTTAAAGAGTAAGAATTCTCTTAAAATTATGTTTGATGCCTGCATTCAAGTATCTCATAATTATTCAAATATAAGGGTCTGTGTGATAGAGAAATGCATTGTAAAATTCAATATTGAGAGAAAAATTCAGTATTGAGAGAAAACATTTACTGCTTTATTATTTTGATGAACACCCATTTCAATGTGTTTACTCTTTGTATCACACAAAATATGTATCTTCTTCCTGAACTTTTTGTTAATATATATATAAGACAGGATCTCAATAGTAGTTCAGCTGGTCTCAGACTCGAGATTCTCCTTCCTCAGTCTCAGGGGAGCTGGGATTTTGTGTGCATACTCAGACAGTCCTGGTGTTTTTATATTTTGAACTCCACTAAGGCATGCAGCATCAATATAATAAAAACAGTATGAACAGCTTTAAAATACTTTGTGCCAGTCAATTATAAGAGCTGTGCTGTATTTATTTATTGAATTCCTGATGCTATTCCATCTTACAGATCATAAAACTAAGGAACAAAGAGGTTAGGTAATTTCTCAGTGTGGTTGGGATTTGAGGCCACGGTTTCAGATTCCAGGCAGGCCTCCTGCTTTCCAGGCAACACTGTTTTAACGCATTGCAACATTACAATGAACAAAAGATAAAACAGGATGAAACCCTATAAAGTTTGGGTTGGGGGGGGGCGCTGGAGAGATGGCTCAGCGGTAAGAGCATTGGCTGCTCTAGTAGAGGACTTGGGTTCAAATCCCAGCAGTCACATGACTGCTAACAACTGTCAGTAACTCCAGTTCCAGGGAATCTGACTCCCTCTTCTGACCTCCTGAGCATTGCACAACACGGGTGCACTCACACACACGCAGGCAATACACTCATACACGTAAAATAAAAATAACAAATGAAATATTTAAGACAAAGTAGGTTTGGGGAAAATAAAAATAGTAAATTTCAAGTTAAGGTTGTGCCAAAGCACTTAAAGATAGTGTCATTATACCACAAATATTCTTGAGGAATTCAAGACCATTTTGGTGAGCTTGGACTCTAGTTTATTCCACTGTACGGAGCAAATGAAACGAAGCTCGCAGGGGCCTTGCCAGCTATGCCCGGAGGAGAGGCACAGACTGCCCAAGCGGCGGTGGGCTGTGCTGGACGCTGCTGTTCCCTGCTCCCCACACTTCGGAAGCAATTTCAAGCCTGTCACCGCAGTTTCTAAGGAGTAGGTGAGGGGCTATCCTGAGCACCAACTGTACTGGCTGCCAAGCCAGCCAGCGGGTTACGGGTTGTGGAGCGGAGACCCACCGAGGGCGGTAGACCCTGCCACGCTCTGGAAAAGAGTGCTTTCCCTTCCAGCCTTCTCCGGTGCAGAAACCGCCACTTTCTCTTGTCACCCAGTTCACCGCCTGGGGCGTGGAGGCTGCAGCCGCTCCTTCCCGGAATTCCCCTCCTGGACCGGCCCAAACACGCGTCACCCCACGGATGCAGTTTGCTGGCCGGGACCCCGCTCAGGTTTTCCTAGATGCCGCGGAATCCAGGAAGCTCGCGACCCTCCCGGCCTAGAGCGACGCCTCTCCCAGGGCCCCTCCCGGGCGGGTGGGGTAGGGTAGGGCGCAGGGCTCGCAGGCGCCTCCCCAGCACCCACTTTCAATCGCCCACTCGCACCTGGCTAGAAGGCTGCAGCGAGCTCCATTCTCTCCCTAGACGCCCACTTAGCCCTGTGCCTAGCCCCTCCCCTGCCTACTCTCCTGCAGTAGTCGGGTGGGGGTGTCCGCACGCTCGCAGATCCCTGAAGGAGCCCACCCTCCTGCCTCCCCACAGGCGCCTAGTCCACCCGCTTCCCCCAGTCCCAAGGACAGCAGCGCGCACAGACCCGGCTCTCCGCCGCCCACCTCCCTTCAGCTGAGCGACCCGCCTCTCCGCCTCCCGCCCTCAGTCACCGCACCCCGGCGCTCGGCAGGTTCCAACTTGCCGAGCACAGCTGCGGGTGTGGAAGACTGAGCTCCGGGCAGGTTCGAGGGAAACCCCCAGCGCGGGCACCCAAAATCGTCTGCTCAGTTTCCAAGCACACCGAGTCCTGGCAATCGCGGACCCCCACCTTCAGGAGGCCCCGCGCTCCCACTTCGCACCTAGCTCCTCCTGCCGCGGGAGCTACAAGTCTCCGAAAGGGAGGTGCTGCGTTCCAGGGGTGCCGCCTCCTTCCCGCCAGCGCTCAAACTGCCGGCCTCGGGCACTCCCCGGTAGCATCCTCACCCCCGTCCTGTAGGAACACCGACTCCCCCCCAATGCCCGGGATGGCCAATATGCACTTTACACCTTAATAAATCGACTCTCGGGTCCCGCACCGGTTCCGGCACCCGGAGATAGAGCGCGGAGGTAGAACCGCGCGCGCGGCTTGGTGGATCCCCTAGAAATTGATCCCCGGTGCACCGAGCCTTCCTTCAGACACTGACGCGCCCTTAGCCCACACCCGGCTCTCTACAGGCACTGAATATCTAAGGGGGTTACAGACCCGCCAGGACTCCCGCCGCCGAGGGCGACCCGGATCCGGTGGAGGCTTCACTCACTTCCCAGTCCCGGGCCTCGGGGAGAGTCTGCGGGGAAGGTGGGAACGTTAAGGAAGCCGGGTACTTACGCTGCCCGCGTCCACCGGGCTAGCTGGAGGGGAAGCTCCGGCCGGCTGGCCTCCGTTGGCGGTGCGCATCCGTCCGGGTTGTGCCGGAGTTTTACTGCAAAGCTGAGCGCAGTCCTTCCTAAGCCAGCGAACGCTCTTCCCAGCTGGTCGCTTCCAGCCTCCCTAGGTCTGGCCTCCCGCGCTCCTCTCTTCCTCTTCCTTCCCAGCCCTGCCTCCTCTCCGCCCCCTCGCTCGCTTTCCCGGGGCTGGGCGATCCCCGGGCTCGCCTCCCTCTGGCGGCCGCTTTTGCGCGGCACGCGGCGGGGCTGGGGCTCTCCCCTGTGCCCACGCGGTAAGACCGTGCCTGGCCTCAGCGCCACTCCTCCAGTCCCGCCCGGAGAGGCTTTAAAGCTTTCTGCAAAGCCTCCTCTTTAACTCCCGGCCTCAGCTTGCAGGGGCTGAGCGAGGGTGCGGGAGGGAGGGCTCGGACCCTGTGAATGAAGTAGAGCCGGGCGGAGGGAGGAGCTGGGGGCCGGAGAGGACCGTACGCTCGGTCCCCAGGGTCGCGCCTGGGCACTGCCGCCTCGGCCGGGCAGCCCCTAGTCTGCTCTGCCCGGAGCGTCTCTGACTTCGGTCTCTACCTCGTCCCTAGCAGCCGCCTCCCCAAGTTCTCACGCTCTAGAAAGTGGTCCTCACCGGGTCCCGGCCTGGCGGAGCCGGGTGGCCCCACCTGGCTGCAGGGAAGGCGGGTGGAGCGCTGGAAGAACTAACCCTCCGCTCGGGTCTCCCGGAGTCTCTCGGCGGTCCCTTTCCCTAGGGACTTCGGAGGCTGTGGGAAGGAAGCCCGTGCGGCCGAGGAACCTGGGCGCAGCCTTGAGGGCGCCCAGAACCGGGGTACCGGAGGATCGCGGTGTGTCCCCGGGAGTGGGCTGCTGGGGCAGGGCTCCGGAGCTCCGAGGGCTAAAACTGAAGCTGCAAACTGACCTGACACAAAAATAACATCACGTCATTTCCTCCCTCGCCTGCAGAGAGGGCAGGGGAGTGGGAGCGGAGCGCAGCGGAGGGCGGAGGCGCGTATTGGGGGAGGCTGGGAAGAGTGAGCGCAGCAAAGAGTTTGAAAAGCAGCTCGCTCGTGGGCGGAGGAGGGCTTCCTCACGCTTGCCGGGACCCTAGAGAGAGGATGAATGGCTGGGGGAGGGGAGTAGCTTGAAGAGCCTCCGCGGGTGGAGTGTCAGGGAGCCGCCGGCGTCCTTTCCTCCAATGTGCCCAGCTTTGTCCCAGCCTTGTCATCTCGGGGCCAGGCCGTCATGGACTAGGTCAGCCCGGGTTAGAAAGAGTGGCAGAGACTGGTACCGCGTGAAGCCGGGGTGGGCATGGTGGAAAGCCCAGTACTTACCGAGACCTGAGAACTGTGCCGGGTGCTGGGGTCCTCTTCTCTGGCTTCCGGGGCCCGACGGGTCAGCCTCAGAGGGCGGGCCCCCGGGGGTCGGCCGGACAGGCCCTGCCCGGTAGCAAGTCGGAGCGGGAGACGGTGGGGCAGCTCCTTGAGCACTGGAGAGAGCCGGGCGTCAGGCCAGGCGGGAAGCCGAGGGGAGAAGTCAGGGCGCCGCAGGGGAGCCTCGGGAGGGGTACGCCGGAGAAGATGAGAGAAGAACCCCGTGAGGCTGGACGGCAGGCTAGAAAGGAGACAGCAACTTCGGGACGGCGGGCCAGCCTGGGGGCTGCTCAGGGCCGGGGCGGGGAGGGCAGGAAGTGTGGGAAGGACAGAAACAAAACCAGCACATGGTTAGGGTCTAGCTCAGGTACCGAGATGAAAGTGGCATTTTAGAACTTACTTTGGGGGTGCAAGAGAAGTTCGGTGATCTCGAGAGGACAAGGCCTAAGGTTCGATCCTCCCTTTTCCTCACCCTCCTTTAACGTAGTGCTACTCAGTTGTGGTTGCCAGCGTCAGTTGCCAGTACCTAGGCGCTCCTTTGAAATGCAAAATCTGTGTTCCCATCCAAACCCACAGCCTCAAAATCTGCATGTTGGTATACAGGGGATTCGTAGGCAAGTTGAAGGTAGCCTGCTGGAGGTGAGGATCTGTGTTAACAGCCTCTTTCACTTTTGCAACCCTTCTTTGCCTCATCCGAACCCATCTCCCCCGTTTCCCTTTTCCACTAGACCTCTACCTACCAGAGGCAATGATGCAGGTGACTACCAGTTACAGTGGGATAGTTAAGTTAGTCGTGGATGGTAAATGCGGGTGGCTGAGGAATGCCAGACCCACCTTAGACTGGGGATGTGGGGTGTGGGGTGTGGCCAAGGCCTTGCTGTTCAGTGGTGGAGTGGATGGAGTGGAGGAGACCAGGACTTAGTATTGTGTTACTGCTGCAGGTTCTTGTACAAATGCCATGTGTCCAGCTTCCAGCTTCCAACTTCCACCTCTGCTCTAGGAAACTTAGGCAAAGAGGATGAAGGTCAAAGTATTTCTCCTTGGAAAGTAAAAAAAAAAATCATTTCAGAGTATCTTTAAGTTTAGAAGTCAAGTCCTAGAAACAGCCTTGCTAGTGACAGACTTTAACGGTGGGAAAATTCTTTAATTTTCGAGTCCATCTACTTCATTTATAAAATAAAATAATGAACTTAGTGGCTTTAAAAATAATCTTTACACTTTAATTATTCTTGCCTTAGTGGGAGAATTAAGAAGTATAATAGAGAGGCCTGGGAACGTAGCTCAATTGGTAGAGTGGTTGGCTAGTATGCAGGAGGCCCTGGGTTCAGCATAGTGTACGCTGCATTTGCCAGCAGTCCTGGCTCTGAGGAGGTGGGGGCAAGGTCATCCGCAGCTTAGTGAGTTTGAAGTCAGCACGACTTAGGTGAGCACTTGTCTCAAACAAAAACGAAAAAAAAAAAAAAAAAAAAGATTAACAATAGGATTGTCAAAGGGAAACATTTCTCAATCTCAAAGAGAATTATTTTGTTAAAACTGTGTTTTTTGGAAATAGTGTCTTGCTATGAAGTCTAGGCTGGTCTTAAACTTTTCATTCTTTTGCCTGAGCCTCCCGAGTGCAGAAGGCTACGGGTGCGTCCACGCAGAGTCTAGTTAGTGGTTTTTCAAGGCTGATCACCTTAGGCTTTCATCTGAGAGCCCTCGGTGCTTCTTCAGCGTAGATACAAACGGGAAACCTAACTCTGCCAATCCAAACACCTCCCTCAAGCACCCAAAACACAAAAACAATTTATTCTGTCAGTGAAAAAAGAGTGGTGATTGCCAAGAAAAAATGAAGGTGGAGGCGGGACGCATCCAATAAAAGACAGTGTGGAGGGGGTGGGAGGGGAGCGCGCCGGGGACTGCTGGGCTCGGGTCCCCGGGGCCAGGCGGACGCTCTCCAGGGTCCTGAAAGTGGGAGCGGCCGCAGGACTTCGTGGGCCTGGCACGGTGCCCTGCTCGGTAGTCACCCGGCCAGCCTGTTTTCTTTCCGCGGTGGAAGTCTTGTGGGAAGGGATTGTCGAGAGGGAGGGAGGAAACCTAGCAACCCATTCTCATTCATGAGGCCTTTTCTGGGAAGCTGCCGAGCACTGGCGGGTTTGTCACTAGGTCGTTTGTATGCGCCGCCCAGGAGAGTGGAGCTGGGTTTGCATTTCCAAGTAAGTTCACACTGTGTTGCTTTCCTTCATTACCTTTTCCTGGGGCATAGGTCATTCTAGAATATTCTAGAATTTTCATTCTCCGTGTTCACATGCACTCTCCCCTGCTTTCTGCCGAGGTCAATTTAGGAGATGGAGGGAGCCCAGAAGACTTCTGGAGAAGTGCCAACAACTCACTTGTGGAGGGCAAATGGACCGTTTTGAAAACTCAGAGAGCCAATGGTGTCCAGGGACCCAGTGTCGCCTAGTCTCGGGAGAAGAAGAGGCCAGGGGACTCCCCCTCGGCTGGGAGTTGGAGTGCATGTGTGTTTGGGGGGGGGCGGATTTTAACTTATGGCAACGCGCCTGGAGGCACTGTACAACAGGACCTGGCTAATTCTTATCCTCACCCTGAGTGCAGCAACCAGGGGCTGCAGGCCGTTGCTACACCGGCAACGGAGTGCAGAGTGGCCATGGGGTCTTCTCAGAGCTGGGACTTCTCAGAGCTGAAATTTCTCAGTGCAGGGATTTCGGCGGACACAGGCAGTTGGGCTGGAGGAGTCTGGCTTGTTCCCAAAGACCTACACCTTGAGCCCACCCACGACCTTTGCTTCTCGCCCTCGAACAGAATTTTGGATGAAGACGAAAAGACGGAAAGTGAAGACCCCAGCATACTTCCAAGATGCACGCAGAACGCCAAGGGGCCTGACAACTTGAAGAGCCTTTTGTGGCTCCCAGCATTTGGCTCCTCAGTTCCTGTTTCCCACTGGCTTTGTGAGAACCTTCTCTTTTCTCCCCGTTTGCTCACTCACCCTGTCTTTGGGCACTCTTCATTACGCATTTTGCTCCAGTCTCTGCTTCAACACAGAGACTCTTCTGAAGGAAGCTATGGAAATGTTCAGGCAGAATAAAAGGCCCAAGAATCCCAAAGAAATGAAATTTAGACTCCTTTACTAATCTGGAGACACCATTTGCGTTCCTTAGACTGGTCTGCCCTCAGGTTCCAGGTTCTAGGCCTCTTGCTTTGAGAGCCAGGGTAGGACTAGGCAGTTGTCTAAAGCAGGCATAGGCATGGGGGCAGTGTGTGTGTGTGTGTGTGTGTGTGTGTCTGTATCCACTGGCTGCCATAGGCCCCAGTAGTAAGAACAGAGAGACCCACAGAGTATTAATATAGCCACAAATTCAATCTGAGAAATTTATCCTAGGAATTACCTCTAGCTGTTCCCCAGCTGCAGGGCAGGGAGCCTTGTCTGCCTTTTGAGCCAGATTCTGAATGGCAGTTTGTGGAATCAATGACATTAATCACAAAATGGAATAATCACACGGTTCCTACTCCTGAAAGCATCCATCCCTAGGGACGCAAAAGACTTAGGGAGCACTATGATGACTGAATAACAACTTCCTTAATTAATCATGTTGGCTGTTGAACAGCAACCAAAATGACTTTCTGCATACTAGAAAACCGACACTTGAATCAATATAAACAATGCCTTCCTACTTTCCCAAATTGAAGAGTCTTCTTTTATATTTAAACACACATCACAATGGAAACACCTATAGCAGAATTAAACCACCACCTTTCCAAAACAGCTGAGCACCTGTAGAGTTTGAAAGTAGATTGAACTTTGTGGTTTATTTTCTCCAAAACTTTATTTTTAAAATTCTATTTTTCTGTGGTCTAGCCATATTATATATTTTTATTCTCTGCTATCTGGAGACATCATTCTCCCACTAGGATCCAAGGATCTAGCAGACACCAGTCAAGAACTATAAACCCAAACCTTTGGCTGTGCTTATAGAAATCTTGTGGATTGGAAGGTGGCAGTATACAAAATGGTTATTATAGTCACAGATTATTTTTAATTTGAGACCCACACAATCAATAATAACATAAATCTGTCTAATTTCACTTAAAATCTCAATGTTCCTACTTAAAACACAATAGTTAAATAGTTAAAAACAGTATTTCTACAGTTCATTATTAGTTTTGACTTCAGATATTATTTAATGACTTTTACAATGTGTTTGTGCATAAGACTTATATGGAGAGGACATAGAGATATTGTA